GACTAGCCTGTACAACACTGTCAGTGCGCCATTACTTTAATTGCTTCCCCTTAATGGCGCTCGCGGATTAGCCCGTAATCCCTCCCTCGTTTGGGGCTCGGCACAATTATTTACCGGCCTTCTTGTGGCCAGATTCCGACAGGGATCAGGAGTAAGCGTTAAATGATATCATGTGGTTGTTCCGCGCGACAGTTGGGAGAAATGACGGCACTCTGGGAGTCAAGTCACGGACAGTGAGTTCAGAAGCTCACCCTTGTCGCAGTCACATCACGTTACGCCACGTCACGTCATGTCAAATCACACCACGTCACGTCATGTCAAATCACATCACATCACGTCACGTCACAGATAGAAGCTCACTTTTGTCTCAGACACGTCACGAATAAAAGCTCACTCTTGTCGCAGTCACGTCACATCACGTCACATATAAAAGCTCACTCTTGTCACAGTCACGTCAAATCACGTCAAAGGATAGAAGCTCACTTTTGTCGCAGTCACACGACTGGCAGACACTTGTTCCGTAGCTAATCAACAGTCAGACTTCATGCTGTATTTTGTTTGTTTGACCACCAATGACTCATTTATAGAGGCACCAGCCATCCATGTCCAGGAGCTGTTTTAGCCAATTTGAGTAAAGAGAAGCACATCGACACCATGATGGCCATTTAGTGCTGTGAAAAAGACAGACAGACCGACAGAAACAACAGAGGGAAAGTAAAGAAGTAGGACCTACCAGTAGCACCCTCCAACCATCCGCAGATATGTTGTAGTAGGGGGTGGGGTTTCATGAAAAAATGTGAAAATCATTCATTAGACCAAGATGCATGTCACTGGGTAGAGCTAAAAGAGCTGAGAAAACTTCTTTTAAATAACAGCATGAAGATTGGATAAACAGTTCAAAAGTTACGCCAGTTTAGGGTTGTGAATTAGAGCATTTTCGGGGGATAATTAATTACTTACTTAGACAAGAGTATGGCACCAAATTGCGCCAAATAAGACATAAGAAATAAATCTCAGAAGACCAACATCTCAGAGTAAATGTTTTCAACGGCTGGAGCAGTAGGAGAAACATTAGACAAAAACAATAATATACAACTATACATAACAGTCAAGAGGAAGATGTTAGCTTCTTCGCTCGACACCATAAGTGTAAAATGTAAAAGGCTGCAGAAAGTAAGTAAAGTACAATATAAGTAAACTCCCTACGATACCATGCCATATTAAACCACTTACCACACCAGCAATAGGTCCTATTCTAAGTCAAGAAACAAGTTCCCTTTGTTTTTAAATTTCACAACTGAAGTTCAAAGTAACATGGGCTTCTGAGTCACTGAACTTGGCACCAGCAACAGTCATAATATAATCCTCTTTCTGAGGAGCTCAACACTAAAATTCACCTGTTGCCAGGTAAACTTATCATTAAGATTTTAAAATTTCTTTTTAATTCTGCAATTCTGCACCTGGGTAAACGCCTTTTGACCTAGCCGTTAATGATGATGTTGGTCACTCTTTTACTACCAGAACTAGTTGTACCATTGACGGCAGTTGTTTGTTTACATCAGTTAAATTCAAAATCCAGAGTTACTTGCCCCTGACTTCTTTCTCGGGGGACTGGGGTGGTGTAGTAAAGTTCGATTTTCATTTTCTCCAACAAAACGTTAATCTTTTCTGACAAAATGACATTTCTAGAGAGTTAAATGATATACATTATTATTATATATATATATATATATCAATTAACTTGCCTCGGGAGTGTTTTCCATCGTTAATCCAAAAAAAGTTGGAAGATAAAACATTTATTTTTCCAAAACTCTTTACAGAAGCGCGTACAAACTCCGGGTGGGTTGTAAACTGTTCAGCGTTCAGTTCTTCTATAGAATCATGTGATTTATGCAGCCAACTACAACGATTAGCCATGGAAAATTCCGCTCGAATTATAAACCGTCCGAAACGCGCTACGCTCTAAATTTGTCAAAATTTGCGTGCCACGCGTTGTGGCAGAACGCGTAACGACCCTTGTAGTTTTAACTCAAAAATCCATAATGTTATGTATTTCTCTCCCCATTGAAACTAACATGGAAACAAAAAGCGTGCATAGACCTCTCGTTTCAAGTTGGTTTCATGATGTAAGGCAACGAACTAATAAAGTTATGAGCTGGGAAAAAGAGAATATAAATATCGAGATTTTTGCATAAATCGCCACTCGCCGGGCGAGCTTGAAACCTCCTTGGCCTAGTTGTCGGTTGGGGGG